GGACTCCGGTGGGACATCCATTGCGAAGTGTTTCGTGGAGGTTGAAGTCACCATTTTAATATCAATTATAGCCCGTTTATTCTTCCGTCATGCACTTTTAAATGACATTAAAATGAGCATTTACATCATCGATTCTTGATATTAGCCTGCTAAACAATGTTAGTGAACCCTTTTAATTTAATGTCAATTTAGGACGCATTTAGATACATATCAATAATAATTTGCATGTTAAAGAAACAGCAGAGTCAAAAGTGTAGAATTCTACCATGTTTACAAATCAGGTACGAAGTCTTGAAATCACCCATGAGAACTAGAAAAGCACTAACAATTTTTGAGCATAGTATCCACCTTCCGAAGCTTACTCGAAAACGCCTTTAATGAATTAAAGTGTTTGAGTAATCGTTTTTGTCGTGAAATCATGGAATGCCTTTTTGCAGGTAGTGCAAGACTAATGCTAGTGATCCTTTGCAGGTTGCGCTAATAACGCTAATGGTAGGGAATGTTACCGGCTGCAGGAGGCGAAACAGGGACCTCTGGTTACACCCAGTGGGCCTCGATGAATGAAAACATTAATTTTGGTTAATGTTAACGGTGAATTGCAAACCGATCAGTTTATCCCCGAAAAACAATCTTCGTCAAATGGTTTTCGATTCTCATATTGGCACAAATTCATGCAAAATCAGGTATACACTAGTTGACAGATAACCAAACTACCGTCAGTTAATATACCAAACAATAAAATATCAGCTCATTCCGGAGTGAATGCTGGTATCATCAATGAAATCTATGACCTTCCCTATCTCCCCCCACCCAGCTAACTTCAGAACGCGTTAAGGCGCTAATTAAAGAAAGACAACCATGATGAGCTTACCCAACACGCGCCACATGCGCCCTGGTCGCGGATCTCTCCAATACTCGGGCAGTTGGGCCAGGCTTTCCTCGCATCGAATTCCTTTGGCAACGCTTCTTTTCCAAGAAACAAAAGCGGGTAGTGGGTTTTGATGGACAGAGTGCGGCCATAGGGGTTGAGCAGAGCTCCTAGTTGTGATTTTGTTGAAGTAGCGTCGACGAAACGTGTGTTAATTCCAGCTGTCCAGGTGGTGTTTGCCTATGCACGGCATGGTTTGCAACGATAATGTCTTTATAGAAGACGATATCGACGAATGCGGACAGACATAATGCAAGTCTATTTCGATGGTATGCGTCAAGAATAAAACATTTTGACTGGCCTCCTTCAAAGCAGCTTTCGAGACTGCTTCAAAATTTGTGCCTACTTCACGGTTGGTACCCTTTAGCTCTAATGTTCTAACAGGTGGAAGCCACCCTCAATATGAGGGAATGCATTGCACCTATAAAGGTGACCAACTTCACTCCCTTTCCATTCGAATTTGCAATCATTCTCGTTGCTGACTCGTTATTTTACTTTAATGATTTACGGCTTTTGGCACCAAAGTCATTGGTGGGCAGAAGAGCTTTGACAGGCTTTGATAATTGCGTAATCAGAAGGACGCTCACCCTAACACCGCCTCGTACAGAATACATGTGCAAAATATTTGCTCTTTTGGACTTAGCATCGAACAAAATCTAACAGCTGTCTTATCGTACAAAGTTTCAACTAATGCTACACGCATTTTTCACTGGCAAATGAAGGCTGACAGTGGTGCCATCGTTCGTGTGCAGCCTTAAATTCCTGCTAAGTCATTGCGCACTCCGGGCGCATCACAACCACCCATTAAGGAAATCACAGTGTTATTTGAAGGTGCGTATTCACTCTCGTCTGGAATTCCGAAATTATTCAAAACCAGACAACGAGCGTGTCGGTATTACACAAGTAAATGTGGCGAACAACGCCCCTGGTTACATTTAATGTGCGCCAACATCCATAAGTGACTATTCATGAAGACAGAGGTGGCACCCGATGCAAGAGGCTCGTGACAGTCAGGCCACTAATGGAACCATTTTTGCTTTACAAAATTGGTTAATAGCAAATTTGTTAAATAACTGGCAATATCTGTGCTTATTTTCTAGGGCAAAATAGTTCCGTAGGTTAACTGTTTAAAAAATTACAGTAGCATAACCATTTCATGTCAAGTGCGAACCCGTCTTAAGCGGTTTGTGGATATGTTTATTTCATGGTCGGCATTCCAACCTAAAGATTTTTTTATCATGATTAACTCCTAACTCCGAAAAACAGCATTATCGTCTATAAAATGTGTACCTTATTATTGACGTAATCTATTATATCCTCCATGTCTTTAGGCCGAGACTGAGGTCTTGATGACCAGTCCCCGATCAGCAACATCAACAGGTGGTAAACATTCATTTTACTGTAGGAAGGAAAGCGAAGTGACAACTATATATCTGCGCACCTTAGTGAACCACCGATGTGTGATACCTAATAGTGAAAATTACTGGCTGAGCCACTTCGGAGTGGGATTGGCCGATTTGAAGTTTGTGCCTGCGCGCTGGAACGTGCTTTGATTACGCGTAGGAAGTCTGTAGTGAAATGTCCGCAAACAATAGGGAGCGAAGATGTTTAGGAAGTTAATCAGATGTCATTGCTTATTGTTTACAACTGACAGTTGATATTCACTCACGCACTCCAATAAAAAGACAATTCGATGATCATTGTAGGATTGTAGGAATGAAGCAGAGAATGGTTCTAGGTGAATGAATTTAATAGCAACTAAAGTTTGTGCTTAAAATAAGGTCACAAAGTTAACAGAGGCTTCATGTAATCATCCAAACGTTACGACAGTGCATCATCGAATCAATATCTGTAAAGCAAACTAGACAATTGTGAATATTACCCCGGAGATTCAAGTGACACCAATCAACTCGGCTCAAGTTATTCATATATGAATTACTGCTACACGTAATGTTAAACAGTGATTTGTGTAAACATTTGAAGGATTTAATTTTGGGCAACTAGAACACGTGTAATGGAAGGATTTGTCCTGGCCACGAAAGGTGATCAGCAGCATATTCTTCGTCTAGGCTACAAGAAAAAATGGCTAGAATCTACAAGACATTGTCGTTTGCCTAATTTAGAGCATTTTCTTGTAGTTAGTCGGTGCATAAAGAAACCTTTACATTATAGAAGGCAAATCACCAGAAATGAATCGTATGTCAAATAACAGGGCTTAGAAACCATTTACTCGTGGATATCTCATGACGTTGAGTAGTCATCTGAGCGCATCTAAAGAGAGGGTATTGAGACTACTCTTCGACATCCAAGTGATGGTAAAGTAAAAGCATAACGAGGCAGATAATCACCGCCTTGACACCACGTGTCATTGCGGCGTTTTCTTGGGTGCATAACAGGCACTTTATGAATGGTGAGGAACCTTGTCCCCCAATTAGGTTTTTAAAACATAAGAATTTGATTAGCTTTAGTCTAGTTACAGAATTTCGGTTTAGTTGGCTTACATAGACCCAATGGAATGAGTTGAGCCTTAATTTACGCTTCAAACGTTTACTTTCATAATTGCAGACTGCAAACAAAACGCCAACTAAAAGCCTATTTTAGTAAATTCTCCACCACTGTTAAACACATGACTTACGTTTACTTATCTATGTGGAAACTCTTTGGTAAGGCAAAAAGGAATCAGTTGGTTTATGACTCCGGCAATACGTACAACTGAGACGCCTTTTTAGCACGAATTAGCTGTTGAATATTTACATAGCTGTCATTTTAACACGGCTTGGCTGTTGAACACTCGCCTGCCCTCTTTATAGACTTAGTTCTGAAAATCAAGGTGACTTTTTCTGAAACGCTGATAGAAGTATAGAAGTGTCTAGTCTTAAACTTGATAAACCAGACTTTGGTTATTGTGACCGATTGCTCGAGGGTGTTGACTCTTAAAGCTCTCATTTCATGCGGTTTAAGAAGTTCGCCGGAGCGTCCAACAAGGTCGTTAGAAGCGGTAGGACTGCATCCAGTGGCCAATCAATGCGATGGGTTTACATGTGGACTGAGGCTCGGTATTAGCGGAATCACACAGTTACAGCCAACTGAGAACTCATCCCTTTACATCATAATGTTTATTTCATCCCTTTTTCTAATTAAATGCTTTCCATTTGCTTGTTTTGTTATTGTTTGATTTTATTCATGTTTGTTGATTAGGTGTGATGGATTTTTGTGAAACGTGCACTCTAGACCTGGCTGTTTCGAGACTCCATGACCTTATTTCTGCAGCTAGTTATAAATTTAAGTAGCCAGCTACCCACGGCCACTCCAAAACCTCGATTACTTCTGCAAAAATTTGTTGCTGACACTTTTTACCAAAATAGAAAGACATTATTAAAATCAGTGGACATCAATAAGAGTTTATTTGAGAAAACTCTGACCAATCACCGAAATAGGCTTTCTCTTGAAAACATCGGGAGACATTGATCCATCTACTAGTTAATAATTCAACAAATAGTAACCAAACAAGTTACTATTTAGACTTTAGGAATTCCTGCATTGATGTCGCTTTCAATGCCACAGTGATTTTCACCACGCAAGATCTTGAAGAATCCGCCATCACCCCAATCGGTGTTCCAGGAGTTGGCACACAGCCAGTATGGCACTCCGTTCTCTTCACCCCAGCCCATCAGCTTGATTGCGTGGCCACCTAGCAGGGCCCCGCTCACGTGCTGGTAGACTCCGGACTTGTAGCTGGGGAAGTCAGCGTACACCTCGAAGTCGGCCTCCACCGGTCCGTTAGTAAACAGCTCGTGTTTGATGGCATCTTCGTCTTTTCGGATGGAGTACACTTTTGTGGCTGAGGAGGAGGGGAATTGCAATGCTTAACATCGTCTTTTGCACACAGCAAAAATTAAGGCGACTAATTTTTATAGCAATCACTTTCGTGGGATTTTTCAAGGTGAACTAATAAAATTGTGCATGGATGAGTATTGCCTAGAGTCTATGGCATAAAAACGGTAAAAGTCAGTCACGATAACTTTTGATAAGTGAACCAAAAGCAGTTCGTCCGACAATAATCACAAATTAACAAAGATCATCACAGGCTTAGAAACCGTTGTGGTCGATTACGGGTAATTAACTTAAAAACAGGTTGATTTGCATAAAATAGGCCGCCTTAAAAAAGCATGCTAGGTGGATCCTCTTGGCGATGACGAAAATGGTGATTGCAGGTGTGTAGCTTTGTTAGGGAATCAAATTATTTTGCAAAAAGAGATCAAGATAGTCCAAGTTATTCATCTTTTTTGGGACTCTCACAGTGTTCGTTTGTGTGGCTGGAGTTCCGAGTTCCCTAAACTCGTACTCAAATTTAAATTTTCCTTACATACAAGAAGTTTTTTTGTGGTCAAGGTTCAGACTGCAAATTAACTTGCTAATGCGAAACAAATGCTAAGCAATTTATATGGATTAGTGATAATGCTACAGCTTTTATCATTGTCAGTGTCATGTACACAAATCTTGAGATTTCAGATGCCAGTTCAGGCGTAACGTTTACAGACATTTAGTTAAAACAATATTAAGTTTTAATCCAGGCTTTGGTAAATAACTCCAAAAAACAGAGTTATGTACTTAAGTAAAAAAATCGCAATTATTGTCTAGGCACTATCCACATCCGAGCTTTAGGCATTGGCATTTGGCAGGTGTTGAAAGACAAACAAACTCATCGTTAGAATAGTCGAATTTCCAAAATAGTAACTCCTTGAGTTATGTTATATTCGTAGCTTATACTATGCAAGTCTACGCCGAGGTTAAATGTTTTTGCTTAAAACAACAGGTTCAATCAAATTTATACGCAGAATGAACTCGTATCATAGGATAATGATAACGAGGCAAGTTAAATGGGAAGTGCTTCAAAGCATCATTTACCAACAAGAATCTCAGTATCCAGCATCTGTTGTGCAACGATTACACTAAAAATGTCGTGAATTTCGGAAATTTAGAAACAATTTAGACTGTAACCAATATTTTCGCAATTATATTTGTAGCTGTGGAGTTCATTTTGGAATTTCAAGTATTAAACATCATCTATGCATGTCGACCCAGTTACACTAAACAGATTTACTGCAAGCATAAAATTATTGAACACCTGTTTTATACATAAGGAATCTTGGAGGCTGTTTTGAATTATTGTCGGTTTAAAAAGCGAATAGCTTTAATTGTTTATAAAGTTTCGCGGCAAGACTGGAGGGATTTAACAAGTCTTGTGCATTTCCATTTGAGCATGTTTGCAGTTCTCGTTCTAACTAGACACAGACTCACATACTTCGGTCAGTCACTCACCAAAGTGTTTGTCCTTGGCGTACGTAACCTTGTACTCAGGTTGGCAGGTGTGTTTACATTTCGGGGTTTTTGCGTCTCCGCTGCATGGCGGTCTGGTACCATTTACGTGGTGTTCACATGGGGGTATCTCGTAAGCCCGACAGACGCCCTTCGTTCCATAAAGACCGCCGCTAACAAGACCTTTGCGCTTCCAAAATTCCCAGGCTTCCAGCGGAAACCCACCATTACAGCCCATTCCGCAAATGGAGCAGCAGGACAGCAAGTCATCGGCACTTAGTCGTACAATATCCGCAGTTCCTTTTACCGCTTCTGGATTATGAATGCACAAACGATCTGACATCGCCTCTGCAGCACCAAATGCCTATAAAAGAATCAAAAATTGTTACAGTTAAGCCATATTTTAGGACATTTTCTAGACACACAAAGGTTAATGACGCCAGTGCTGCGATTTTCACCGTAACTGAAAATTACTCGCGAAAATATCAAGTCTAATGATTTAGTTACAAATAAGTATCCCGGCAGATATTTCATGTGGGAACGATGGATTAAATGCCTCACTAGGGCTGAAGTGCTTGAATAGTCTATGGATTTCGCGATTTTGGATTTGTGATGACTAATGAAGTGGTTTTGCCTTGTTAAGATATTAGCTTGATGTCGTCCGTTTAGGATAAAGAGAGAATACAATAGTGAAGCAGAAATAAACTTCACTGAGATTAAATTTGTAGGACTTTAAGCAAAGGGTTTCTGTACATTTTGCTACCCGAACTATCCTAGGTCAATTTTAGTCTGATAATTTTATGTTGACTACATTTTGATACCCTATCAGTTACTGAAGAAAGGGAATTAAGATTCCCAATCACTGGGTAACTAATGGTTTTTACTACAGACAATCGAACTGTATCAGAAAAAAATGATTTTTCTATCGTTATTAAAGTACGTAATTTGAAACTTGTTGATTTCCAAAGGCAATTACCCAACAGGATCCACAGCTGCCCTGATCACGAATTTCAAATAGGGTCTTGCAGTTTGGCCATTTCGTTCGGGGATCAAAGGATTTAGGAAGATCTTTGAATGTGCTCTCACCAAAAGTGGTAAGAAGTGGGAGACGTTTTCCCATTGGATGGGGAATAGTTCCAAGTTGTTGGCGTAGTTGAGAGGGTGCCGTAAATCTAGTCACTGGAGCCGCTTTCCAGGTAGTGTTGAGCTACACCAATGCGTTGTACCAGAAAAGCCATGGAGTTACACTGATATAATTTATGGCGCATCAGGTAAATAAAATGCAAATTTAACTCCCAAGTTTCAAATGGCTGAATTATAAGGCTGGTAAATGCGATTATCACAATGAAAGTACACATTTGAAGAATAGTGATTAATCCTACGTAATCGAATAGAAGAACATTGAGGGCAGACTTAAAATACGTTTTGAACATGCCTAACTTGAAACGTACTTGGTAAACATTCACGAAATAAGTAAAATGTTTAATGGAGCGATTAGAAAGCAACTTAAACTAGTTAATGATAGTAATTTAGTTGTCAGATTATTGATCAGGACTAAGGCAATTCACGCAGTTAAAATAGGTAAAATGGGTAACGTCAGGTTATATCGATATCTAATAATGATGTCACACCTGTCCTTATTCCTGGAGTTTACCAGTACATTTGGTTATGGCAGATAATGACAACGAACGGCACATTTGGCAACATACAATGTAAGTTAGAAGTTACCTACCCGATTTACGTAATCGACAATCTCTTGGGAAAGTGGTTCATGCAGGGCGACTGGTTTCGCATGAACATCCCACTGTTGTAAGCAATCCTGCGTTACCACGCATGATGGTAAAAGTAGAGACAGTAATGCGACAAAAAGCGCAGGCGCTTCTAACATGATTCCAGGTGAAGGGCCGGAATAATGGAAATCCGAACAAACACGCCATCATAAAAGTATAAACACACCGTAAACATAAACAAAGATGAAATCGTGTAAACAATGTGATGCGACGCTAATATATACAAGCAGTGGAGATTGGGTAAATTGCATGACATGTCTTAAATTCGCGGTTTGAGAAGGCGCAAATCCATCTACGCAACTACAGAATATATGAGTCGCTTTACTACAGTGTAAAAAAAACGCGGTAGCACAGCAGCCGATTTTTCTATGCAATGAATAGGGAATAAAAAGAGATTTTTTGCAGTAAAAATGTGGCACAATAGCTGTTCGTGATTGAATAAACCTGGAAACACTCAACATGGTCGTATTTTTTGAATCAACGTTTCATTTAAAGTATGAGACCACCAAAATGGCCAAAGGGAATTCCGAGATTCGGCACAACTTCCTTTCATCAAAACAAAATAATCAAGTAGAAAAAATAGAGGTCATCTACTCAGGCTTAAATGAAGGCAACTTATTTGTACCTACCATTTCTAAAATTCCAATTGAGACCTAGTCAGTAAGAGGAGTAATGTCCACGCCAGGCCTCCCCTATTCTTAATTATCCGTTCAAGCTCTTCGTTAACCCATCACTGTTCACACTGACACCTTATGTAGACGTCTACCGTTTTCTTTGAACTACCAGTTTGAAAAGGGCACGAATTTCATGCTCACGTGATTGCCAATCCCCATTTAGGCCTCCGGTGCCTCCGTAATGTGTGTATCGAACCTTCATAACTCTTGCGTCCCCCACCCATCAATGATCTGAATGTAAAAAACGAATGACTGGAATCTTGCAAAACAATCTTCTACCACACTGCATCTGCACTTAGCCACACTTCATCCTAGTCGAGGCTCACTAACTAATTAGGAGTTTCGCGTCTCAGGTCTTTCTCCGGTTCAAAAAATGTCGACAAGTACAAGATCAAGTTATTGAACTAAATGATCGATTCTTTCACCTAAAAAATGAAGGAACTTTAAAAATAGTGGTTTTCTGAAAAACAACTACCTCGGTTTGAGATTTCACTTTATTCGAATCGAAATATTTTTAGTTTGGAAGCCAACTAAACCCCTTCAGCACTAGCTCGGTTAATGACTCAATCCTGCACCATTTCTGAGCCCGATCGCTTATTTTAGAAGAGCAAAACAAATCATCGTTTGCAAAGCAAAGGTGCCCAACACAGTCCTATTAGAACGGAGAAGACAAGTAATTAATCTTACATTGAAAATGGATAACTCGCCCAGTTGACAACAGCCGAGTCGGCTAAGCTAGCCAGCATAGACAATTTAGGCGGCGTAGTACTTAGGGTTTGCACCGAATCACATTGTCTCAAATCCACCACTATGTGCACTTCGTCCTGCAAGCTACACATAAACAACTAATCAACCACAAATGTTCCACCTGTCCTGTCATCTGAACACGATCGATCGAGGTTACCAGCAGGCACTCTCACTCCTGCGTATATCTGCGGCTAAAAGGTGTCACATTGTAGTGTCAGATTTGACATCGAAATCGTCATGGCGACTACCTTACTTCTCCTGAGGTAGAACGAACGCCAAGTCAAATTCTTCAATCTACAGAATTGACCCTCTATCAATTCATATTGTGGTGTAAGATCACGATTTAATCGCCTAAAATTCAGACTTCTATTTTGGCGTTCTGAGGTTACAAATGTCCTTTTTCAATCCGATTTACTGGTCGATAATTTAATTTAGATTTCAGTGTCACAATTACTTATCTGTATCTTCGTTGATAAGTAATTGTGCATGGAACGCCTTTGCTCACACATTCTACAGGCTTTCCTTTCTTCCAACAGTTTCAAAGGGTCAATCCAATGAATCGGATGACCTTCGATTCCACACATCACGTCATGACGCTACATTGCTGAAGCAACTAACGAAACCGGACGTTTGGCACCCAAAAAACTAAGCGCCACAGCAATCTCTTAAACGTCAACAGGTTGTCGTCGTTCCCAAACAACATTCTTTTTCTCATACCCAAGATCTTTCAATGGGATTCGACGAATTTAAGGACATTACACGAATAGACTTGATTCTTGCTTTCCTCAGATCCTATGCTATGCTTACACTCATCGTTATCACTCAATCTATCATGCAAGTTAGTGTCGGTGCCTTTAAGTTTACTCACCGGGGCTTACGTGAGTCAAAGATTAATAGACCGAGTTCTTTGTGGCCTCAATTTTGTCTTGGTTTACACTCGTTACCGATTACGATCATGAATATGTACATCAGTTAAGCCACCAATTTAACAGCCTTCAGGCCTGCGGTAATACATCAAGCAACTAGCTTTGCTTATTTATAATGTGCAAACACTACATCGTTGCTGACAGTATCAAATCCTTAACGAAGTGAAAGCAGCAATTAAGGCGTATCCAGTTTGAAAGTTGGCCCATATGTTACATTGCTTTGATAGTTTGGTCGGAAGCCACACGTAATTTACTGATGTGAATTTATGGATCAATTTGGGTTACCATTGAGAACACTTAGGCCAGTGTACATCACATGAGCTTAGTCAAGAATAAGGTATCAAAACACATGCTACTTAGAAAGATGGTTAAAGGGCACGCATTCGGTAAAGAATTAATTTTCGATTTTCGCGGGGAAGCTTTCACTATTCTTGGTTCCTCGTGCCTGTACAACTAGCAAATGTGAGTATTTTGTGACATTTATAGTACTGTTTGAATTGTCATTGGATGTGGTGCTATACACCATTTTTGGTAGTCTAATAAGAGCCTTGACTAGGTGACTTCCAACACCTTCAATTTTCACGCAATCGGCCACACCGTCAAAGATCCGCTTTCTCCACGGTTCGTATGAGCAGAAATGAGTAAACTGCAACTTGGTTTCCATAGCGTGCATTCTTAAGATTGACGAACTCTGTCGACAGCTCCCGTTCAAACTCCACCAAATAGATCTCGACATTTACGTGACTGACAACATTTAAGTTATGGATCTAGTGAATTACTACATCAATTTAACTATAGTACAATTGTATATAACACATCCATTCATCAGAACTTCGGAAGTCTCATGAACACCAAAGCAAATTGTCGTAAGAAGTTGACAGTATACTGGCCATTGGGGTTAATTATTTTACCTATAAACCATTTTCATAAAAATTTAGTGACCGCGATATGGTTGTGTGTTAGTGGTTGAGCTAACTACCTGGGGTATTTCATCAATCCAGGAATTTTTATCCATCATGAATGCAATTTCAAGTGACTTGCAACTTTGGTATTACAAACTCTCACTGGCTGCCAAATAACCCAAAGAGGCTTACCCATCGCAGAATCACGAGAGAGACTAAGGGTGCAGTACCGGTGGCCACGAGCCTTCACTACAGGAAGAAGTAAACAATACTTATTGAGAAAAGATAGCTTTCGAGGTCCTAGAACAGGAAATTAATTGTCGTGTCAAGTTACTACCGTTGCAGTATCCATTACAGATAACTTAGCGCGTCACCAGTTGAAAGACTGTAGGTTCGCACAACTTGTAGACCACGAAACTTTTGTTAAGCCCTTAGAGCAAGTTCAGATACCTCAGAATTTCTAGCCAAAATCTATCACATTTATTTGGCCACATTGTAAGCAATGGTTGTGTACCAGATGACAGAGCACAGGTGACATGGTGGTCGATTAGGCAGAGAAACAACATGGGCAGTTTGAAACCTCGTTAAAACTGAATACAGATTATTCGAAACAAATCTAATCAAATTGGATTACGTGCAAAGCAACAACCTCGAAATACACACTTACAGAAGAGAGCAAACTCGGACGACTGTTCACCGAGTGAACAAACTCTAAGTGGCGTGAAAATGAGATCCAGAGCAGTAAAACAAGGGGGTGAATAGGGGTAATATGGCAACTTTTGTGTTATTCTCAGGAATCGCATAATTCGAAAAAACAAAAAAATTTAAAAGGAGGGTTAAATCAACACATGTTTCTCTTAAGATTTTCTTTTTCCAACGCTTCCACTTGTTGGTCGTTTGCTAAAGATTTAACCGGACATTGCTATTTACTTTTGGCTTGGCCAGAGAAGAGCTGGATAGGTGGTAAAAGGCAAGCAACTTCTTGAGTTTATTCTCGAGACTTATTCAGAACCCAATTTTGCAAAAAGGCCTCGAAAAATCCCTCGGATAGTTGCAGGTGTCCACTACTAATGCTTGAGCT